TCCGCGCCTCGCGAGGAGGAGATGGGAGGATGAGCGGCGGGTGGGTGGGAGCCGAGCCGGTGGACTCGACGGAGACGGGGGGGGCGGAGGGTGGTGGCGGCGAGGGGTTGGGAGGGGAGAGATGGCGTCGCGGGTACTAATAGCGCGGAGGTGGCGGGTGAGAAAAAGGGAGGACGAGAGGGTGGAGAGATCTTGGTGTGGACTGCGCATTCATTTATGTCTTCTTTGGGCTTTTTTTCCTTTCTTTTATTTTTTGATTTGAAAAAATGGCGATGGGTTTTTGTATTTTCTCGGCTCTGGATGGAGTAGCCAAGGTTTGGTTGGTGTCTGGTGTAGTGGTGTTGCCAGGTCTGTGAGATCAGCTCATGTAGGAGACCACTTATTTCGTTTCAAGACGTTCTTGAAAAAAAAAAACACACACACATACTCAACGTCTTACATTTGTTTATGAAACAATGACCTAAAATGTTTTACATTTTGTTTACGTATTATTGATGCAATACTTGTTATCTAAAACCAGTGAGCCGAGGAATACCACTTGGGAGTAATGGTAGAACATATCGGCAAATTGACGCAATGACATGAGGTTGCCCCTGGTGTGTTCTGTTCCTACCCGCCCGACTCCCGAAGCCTCCATGCTAAGCCCGTATCCGATGTACAGTATTCCTCTACGCCTTTGAGTCTCCTTTCTTCATCCGATTCCCTCCCTGACAATGTGTACCTCGCTCTTTCCTTCACAACACTCTACCTCTAGGCCAAAGTATACGCAGAATTTGTTGTGACAGCTACCGGTACTTGATCGTGCACTTACACCACTAGCCAATACACGATTTTAGTTTTTTTACTGCCAGTAAGTACGTGATAACTTTTCCTACTCTCTCTGTAAACAGTAAACTGTCATAAGACGTCTTAGTTATGTAACAGTAAGAAATTACCATTTAAGTAAGAAAAGAGAAAGTTACGTTGCTAGTACGTCTATCTCATCACCGACCACGATTCCTCGGCACCCTAATATCCATCCGACCACCTGTCAAACAGTCTGTTAATCACTAGCTAAGCTGTCAGTACTAACAGCTTGGGAGTAGTAGTGGTCAAAAAACGCTACAATAGTACAGTTAAATAAAATATTTCACCGCCCATCGAGCAGTGTTCTTCGATAGTAGTACTAGTGTTAAACCCCATGTACATGACGCGGCTGACGTAGCCTCCGCGCATCGAGATCCAGGAGCTGAGCATGTGACGATCAATTCTATCTTTATCCGCAACCCATAGTAAATCTTGTCCCTAAGCCGCTGCCCCCTTCCGGTCAGCCAATCTCTACACCCTCTGGTTGCTTAAACTTATCTTCAGAATCACAGCTAATGAAAACGCACACATCGGCCAATGGGAGAGCAGCGAGCGGCTCCTCCAAATCTCACAGTCCCACACCACAGTGTCAATTCAGGAGCAGCCAGCCAGGGTGAAGTGAACACCATGTGTGCTCGGCAGATGCGCACATGAGCCGCCATGTGACCGCCTCTTGGGCCGATCGATCTGTAATCTGTAATCTGTAATCTGTAATCTGCATCTGTTTGTTTGTTTATTACTCCTGCCCGCTGGACCTGGTTCTGGCTGGTGGATTTTTGTTGCTTCCACCAGAAAAAACGAACTACCGCTGCTGCCAAGCCCGGGGGAAAACTGCGTGGGTGACATGTCGGCCTGCATCACCATCGCCCGGTCGCCGATGAATCTTCTCTCGGTTCTGCACAAAGGGATTTTGTAATGGGGTTCTGCAAGCACAAGAATTGTTTAGCGAGTCTGCTTGGAAATGTTTTTAGTATGGTGTGCTGTCAGTGCCCGGGCACAGTGCAATACTAGCTGCTCCCAGATCATTTTCTTTTATTCCCAGTTGTGTGGGTGTATGTCATGTCGACGTCCTGGAGAGCTTCCAGGCCACGGGCACCACGCGAGTTGTGACGCAGTAATTTTACAGGGACCGAGTAGTAGGCCACATGGCTGATAAAAAGAACCATATTGCTAACAGTTTGCCGTACAGAGCAGGCGGGGGATTAGACTAGTGGTTTGGAGGGGCGCATGTGTTGCTTAAACTAATCAGCTAATCATCAAAAATAGAGCCGGCGACTTCATGATGCCTACTTTGTAGCTAGAGACTAGAGAGAGCAGCATCGTCGAAAAACCCCGTGGGCCTGGCGGGAAACAAAAAATATGGGAAGAATACGCGGGAAATGACAACTACTTTGGAGCTACAGCATCCCCCTACCAAATGATGATTGATCTAGACATCGCAACACGCACGAGAATAATGGTAGCTCTTGCAACACATTTGTCATGCTAGCAGTGAGTAGTATTCTCCGAGAATCATGTCTGTTCGTTAGCACTTAGCACTAGGGTTAGGGTTAATTGGCAATGACACTTTGCATGTGTTGGCTACGCCATCCTACGACACGGCGAAATGCGGCCATCTTACAATGCTCGATCTCGACTGGATCGTAATCCGTAAAGTCACTGGCATCTTTTCTTCGGACATCTCTAAAGGCATGTACAATGGTGGCACATGGATACATATGCCCCATGACAAAAAATAATTTGAAGCATCTACATTAATTTTTCCTTTTCAATGCAAGCTATCACTAGTGGGCCTTATTAAGAAATAAGAAAATAAAGACTTTAGTACACATGCATCTCTACTTTTCACTCCAACCTTTTCAGCTTTTGTCATCGGACCACGCTTTTTCTCTTCAAGCACCCGCCTCCTGGAGAGGATCCTGCTTCTCTATCCGAACCTACTTTACGTCATATCTGATCCTACATGGAGGCTATGATTGTACATGCCCTAATAGTTCAAGTTGGAAAAGAAAAGGTGTGTGCTTAAACATCGAAGCTGCATTGGAGACTTGACGGCGCCATTTTGACAGGCTTACCATGTTTGCTTGGACGTTGTCACGTCACTGTATTTTGGTACTGCATCTTTTTTTAATAATGTAAGAACTGGGTTGGAAAGGGGCCAAATATCCACACACGCAAAACATTCTTTTTTCGTTTATTGAGAATAGACAGGAAATGAAATAGGTGGGGTGAGGTCTTATCAGATAATGAATTAGGGAAGATGGGCGATGTTGACCAGAAAATAGGTGCAAAATACGTTTCGGCGAGAACGATTTGGCACCTCAACACCTGCTACGTGAAGCTACGATCCAATTCCGACCCAGTCCGAATCATGCTGTTTTTCAATTTCAATCACGCAATGCTGTCCCAAATCAAATTAATTAGTCCAGTTATTCTTTTGCCGACGGTTTAGCTAGAACCTCTTCGAACACCTAGATGGAATTATATGCAATGCACCCAATTCAATGCGCTCTCTTTTTATTCCAAAAGGACACACATTCATTATAATTTTTAAAATTGATAGGAAGTATGCACTCCAAAGCGTAATAAAAATTACGTCGAGGTATCTTGATCAGCGAACGATCAATGTTGCCGCCAGAAAGAGCCGCCAATGCGCTGTTGTGCTGCTCTCATACTAAAGCCGACCAAACCTTATGAATAATAATCAGAAAGTCTTCATGCATGTGCCTATAAGGACCAACATCATATAGCCGTAGTCATCATTATGAACTTTAATCAATCTGAAGTGTTTGCCACAAGATCTCATGGTCGCACATGTACGAGAGAGACCCCAACTTCACCGTCTTCATGGAATTGCGGCAAAGACCAAACATAAATTACAATCCGGAGTAGAGACATCTAGATTCTCCTCCCAACCATCAGCCGTCAAAACAACATGCCGAGGGCGCTGGGGATGAATCCAGGGCCTGCCTAGTGGAACTCCGGAGGACGAGAAGTCGAGGACTTTACCTAGCCGCCTACGCGTGAGTGGAAAGAAAACATATACACTTAGAGCATCTACAGTCGGACTCAGCAAATCCGGCCCCTCAAACCCCCGCGGACGCGCCCGGCACTGACCGGGCACTCCATATATCTGCATCTCCACACCCACTTAT